GCAGTAGCTGGGCCCCTGCTGAGCACAGCGGCATTCAACTGGGGCTGAGTGCCATGTGGAGCTCGGCTGCTGTGGCACTCAGCTGGGGCCCAGTGCCATGTGGAGCAGCGAGTGCTGCAGTGGTCCATCACTTGGCCCTGCCAACCAGGTCAGGCAGCAGCCACTGGAGCTGGAACTCAGGCCATGGTGATGCTGCCTTAGTAGGGACAGCCTCACTGTGGCCCCGGCTCCAGATGCAGCACACCCGGTTGCCTGCCAGGCCACTCACCCTGCTGCTGTGTGGGGACCCCCTGCGGGCAGAGCTCATTAGCTGCTGGGGGTGTGGCCTGGTAGCGTAATGTGGCGTGGCAGGCAGGAGTTTGCGTCCCGTTGCTGGTCTGTGGAACTGCTGATCGAGGCAACTACTATTTTGCTGATCTCTCACACTGTTGCTCAAATAGTTTGAAAACACATAGGCCCTGCCTTAGGACAGGGTGAGCAAGGAGGCTGCCTTGGGCCCTGCACCTTCAGGGCCCCATGCCGCCTGGCGCCCGCCCACCTGGCCACTCACTTACATGGCACAGCCAACCACAGTGTGCCACTTTAGGCCCCGCAAACTCTTTGGCTGGGCCTGAAAAGGCAAATACCATCTACAGAAATGTGTTTGATTAGAATAAAATAATCAAGACAAACAGAATTATTTACTCCCTGCCTGCTACAGCCCCAGATCATTTAATACTGCAGGCTATTCCCTCCATGTGGCTCTCAGCTCTGAGAGGGGGAAAAGTTTTGTGCTGCCCTCATACTCTAGGCCATTCTCTCAGCCCATATTGGCTGGTTGTTTGCAGCCAATAGGAGTTGAGGTTTGGATTGGAGGTGGCAAGATCACATGAAGCATCCCCCTCCACCCAGAACAGAGAGCCACCGGACTGCACTTTAAACCTGCGGCAGTTGTGTGCCTGAGGGTCCCAGCAGGGTTGATCGCAGGCCAGATCTGCCGTATTTTGCCCAGCGCTGGGCTAGCCAATAGAAGTCTGAACAGAGATGGAGCAATAGATCTTAGAGGTGTGAATTGCTCCATTCAGTTCACAAAGGCGTTAAATTACATGTCTGAGTCAGATGATTTAAATGTCAACATTAACTATTTCCTCTCAAGAAAAGGAGAGAGGGAGGATTACAGATTTATACAATTTAGTGTATTGTGATAGCTCATCTGGATGCCACAAGTGGATGGAATTTGGAAGATACAACAATTTCCCTTCATACGCTGCTCCTTCCAATGAAGAGGGAGCCAAGCTCAAGGGTCCCTGTGGGGCTCAGAGCAGTGAAATGATCATACAGTATACTAAATGCCTATTCAATCTGGTATGAAGAATGGCTCAAATTAGCAATTCACATGGGCAAAATTTATTTGGGTGTGATACTTACTAGAGTATCACCACTTTTCTCCTCCCCCATCTAACCCTTTTCTGTTATACTCCCTTAATATTATTTTTAAAACAATTCTGTGAACAATTCTATTTATTTCAGTAAATAATAACTAAGTTGTGGACATATTCTCCTATCACAGTGGCTTTCAAACTTTTTAGACTGTGCCCCCCTTTTCAAAAATCTGTAATCTACAATGTGAGATAGGATCAAAATATAACTATGAAAACAGAAAATAAAAAGGTCTGTAAGGGACTACACAATGCACTGTTCACCATTACAGGATTTTTCTTGTGTTCCTGTTAACAACTGCTTGCATACCCTCCAAAGTACACAAATCCCAATTTGAAAACCGCTATACTATAGTATGCCGTGGTTTGAAATTTTCTTTCAGCCTCATGCAGTATCTCAAACAGTCATGTACTGAATCTATTGTCTATTATATTGTATTCAGTTCTTTGTTAAACTATGCAAGATAGACATTTGGCAAGTCAAATCAATATCAGCCTGTAAAGTGAAAACAAAAAAGCTTCCCTCATCTGCTAGAAGCTTCAAGGAAAAATGCCGAAGGCTTGATTGTGTCCAATGGTAATTTATACTATTTCTACTTTCTCAGTAAATAAGGATTTAATTCAGTAAAGTATTCACGCATATGTCTAACTTTAAGGGCTAATACCATGCTGAATAAGGGCTCTAAACTTTTCAATCGGCTAAATTCAAATTGAAGATTAAATGAGCCAAAATAAAGGACACAAGAACAGTGCGGTAATAATGCAAGATGATTCACTTAGGCTTGGTTTCCACTATATACCCACTCCAATATAACTACATTGCTCAGGGGGGTGAAAAATCCAGTTATACTGACCTTAACCTTGCCATGTAAACAGCTCTATGTCCGTGGGCAAACTTCTCTTACTAATATAGCAACTGCCTCTCATGGAGGTGAAGATATTAAGCCAATGGGAGAGCAGTGCAGCTGCAAATTTCTAGTGCAGATCTGCCCTTAATGTCCATAACATTCTAAACAACTTCCAGTTTCTTAGTGCATAGTCTCATAGGGTATGTCTACACTACCACCCTAGTTCGAATTAGGGTGGTAGTGCAGACATACCCATACAATGTAACTCAGGGCAAGTCTACACTACAAAATTAAATTAACCAAAGATATGTCAGTTTATAGTCTCCGCAATAATTAAATCACTTTTGCATGTCCATATTACGCTCCTTGTGTTGAAGGTATGAATTCTCACCGGGAGCACTGACACTGATTTAACTGTCAGCATCAACACTGCAGGACAGCTTTTGAAAGGTGGTAACAATCAATGTATGCAACGCAGTATCGACCTAAATATGTTGACCTAAGCACAATGCCTCTCACACAGGTGGCATTATTAAGTCTGAATGAGTTGCAATATCAGAATCTGCATGAAGAAATGAGATTACATAGTGTACTACGAATGTTAAACAAATCATCTTAAGTTATTGCTGCACTTTTCTCGTGTCTTTCATTTTGGCCTATTTAACCCTGAACTGGTGCTCTAAAATGAGACATTGGATGTAGTTCCCTTCCCAATAAAATAAAATAAAATAAAATTTTAAAAAACAACAAAGGATTGGGTTGGGTTAAACCTCAAGAGGGTATAACCTGTAAGAAGTCATTAATGTATTCTTCAATTTTTAAGGGGCATTTTGTGTATACCAGTGATTTCAAACTTTTTTTCTTGCAACCCAGTTGAAGAAAACTGTTCATGCCCATGACCCAACATCTTTATATCTTTTGCATAGTGTGCAGGCTCGGAGGTGGGGCCAGGAATGGGGTTTCAGTTGCAGAGGAGTGAGGGCTCCATCTGGGGGTGAAAGCTTTGGGGTGGGGCCAGAGCTTGGGCGGGACAGCGCAAAGCGCTTCATGACCCCCCCACCTAACAACTGGATCTGCTGTTGATCACTTCCGGGGTACAGCATGATCCTTGGTGCTAAGGCAGACAGGAAGACTGCCTTAGTACTTCCGCTGGTCACTCTACATCAAGGTGACTCAGTGCCTGACATTCTGTGACCCAGTACTAGGTCACAACTCATAGTTTGAAATAGGGCTGTAAAAGGCTAAGCAGTTATTTGGTAAGCATTAGTCTTACCAGCATACTTACCTGGTAACTAGTTAATCGATAATTTGGTGCAGCCGGAGCAGCCCCGCCCACGGAGGGCCAGGCTGGAGAAGCTGCAGGCGTTCTACCAGTATAAGAAACCACCTTCCCAAACAAGGTTATTTATGCTGTTAGAAGTGTTGTTTTGTTAGCACAGTTATATTTATAGGCATGGGAAGTGGGGTGGAGTTATCAGCATAGGAATGTCACTATGGGATGTGGTTCTATTACACCCTTGACCAACTTAGCTATGTCAGTATACATATGGGCTGTGTCTACACTGGCCGCCTATTATGGAATAGGCATGCAAATGTAGCACTTTGGAAGAGGCAAATCCGCGGGGGATTTAAATATCCCTCGCGGCATTTGCTTTTTCTTGGCCGCCGCTTTTTTCCGGCTTGGAGATAAGCCGGAGAAAAGCATCCAGAGCGGTGCGATCCTCCGGAATAAAGCCCTATTCCGTAGGATCTCTTATTAAGTATCTTATTAAGAGATCCTCCGGAATAGGGCTTTATTCCGGAGGATCGCACCGCTCTGGATGCTTTTCTCCGGCTTATCTCCAAGCCGGAAAAAAGCGGCGGCCAAGAAAAAGCAAATGCCGCGAGGGATATTTAAATCCCCCGCGGATTTGCCTCTTCCAAAGTGCTACATTTGCATGCCTATTCCGTAATAGGGGCCAATGTAGACATAGCCTTTAGGTGTAGTCAAGTTTTTATGTAGTGAGGGAGAAGACTGAAGCCAACTGAATGATGAATTGGTGCAAGTCACATTACTTCCCCATTTATACACCCACTTGAATCACTGCTCAGTTTGATGCCAAGTCTTTAGTAACACAGTAGTCAACTTTTGCAGTTGATTAAGGATTTGAAATGAAAGTCAACCATAAGAGCAGTTTATCACAAATGAACATGTAACCAAGTTGATATAACTTAATAGATCATACTGCATAGCTACTAAGACTACTATCATCATCATCTATTATTTTGCAACAGATATACTACACCTGGATTTTTTTAGCTTATGCACCTAATGACCAGCATTACCCCACGTATTTGCTTCTGGCAGAACCTATGCAACCACAGTACAGCTAGTTAACAATCCAGGTGCATTTGCAAGAATGAGGAACTGCTGTCAGAAAGTTAATGCATTAATCAGAAAGTTGTAAGCTTTTGGGAGTCTGATCGATAAGAGGCTCTCCCAGATGTCTGTCTTAATTATTTTATATAGAATACAAATTAGACATACCTCCTTCAGATGTTGTGGAAAAGAATACGTAGGGCAGACGACATATCTGACCTGCCGATATATATATATAAAGGTAAAGAAACAAGCAGGAACTGATACTAGAACAACCAATATCGATACTAAAAGAACAGTGACAATTATCCACACTGGAGTTATACCTGCAAGAAACAAGAAGATAAATTCTTCTTAACCTGATTATTCTTTATTATTTTGAATATACAATTTTCAGATTTTAATTTTCTTAAGTAAATACAGGTTGCCCCTCTAAAATCTGGAATTCTCTGGTTTGGCAACATCTATGGTCCATCATGACCACAGATGTTCCAGGATCAGAGAGTCCCAGTGCTACGGGAAAATGGGGACCCAGGAGTTGGCTCACGGCTCAGTTGGACTGAGAGGGGGGAAGAGCAGGAGCCAGTGTGCAGCTCAGCTGGGCTGGTAGGGAGCCAGGAAGCCCAGTGGGCGGGAGGTTGGCAGCAGGGGGCCTGCCATGACCTCCCCTGGTCTGGAAAAATCCATCATCCGGTACCTAGTCAAGTCCCAAGGATGCAGGACCAGGGAGGTCCAACTTATACAAGATTTATTTCCTCCACTTTTTCATTTTAACAACTATTTTGGAGAATGAACAAATATATCATTTTGTTCCCAAATGTAAGAAGGTTTCAACTGTGTTTCCACTTCAAACCAGCTCATGACATTCTTACTAGATAAGTTTAACCTATGGCCATGATATATAAATGTTTACAGAAAGAAGAAAATTCTAAGTAAATGGGGAAAAAGAGGAAAGCAGGGTAACGACATGTAAACCCCAAGTACACTTATGCCTGGGTTCTTCAAACCAGAGCACTGAATTCTATTTCTCTCTAAAGGAAAAAATGAAATAATAGTAACAAAAATGGCAACAAACTTGGAGATGGCAGCAGTCCAAAATTCTTTAACTTCCAAAATATTGTGTCTTCTAAAGCTTGGTTTTATGCACAAGGCTGTCACAGCATGTGATACAAATAAAGATTTGTCTAAATTGTCTAAACATTTTAAAGACTGTCTATGATTTTAAGCAGCTATTTACTAATTAGTCTGGGAATGCACTTTTCTTCTTATATGGAAACACAAAGCTCTCTTCTAAGACGTGGCCACCTCACTGATGGTGGCTCTAGCCACAATAAATAGTTATTCCACACATAGCTGGTAAGGTGGTGTGGCTGCAAATTGGAGCATTCCAACAGTTTATACTCTAAGGTTAGTGCTATAAAAAAAATGAAAGACTAGAATCTAGATTAGGCACTGTGGAGAATTCTTTATGATTGATACTTACTGGTATAGTTGCATAAAAATAAAATATTGAAACAAAGAAACTAGTTGTTTATATTTTAATCAATAATAATGATAGTTTCAGTTTGCACATAGAGGAAACTTGGGAAAAATCTTAAGTCTCCTTGGCAGCGCCACACAGTTGATCCCGGGCTCTGAGTGGTGCTGCGCCTTTGAAAAGCCACTGCAGTGTTTCAAAGTGGCAGCACCGCATGGTGCCTGAGGCAGTTCCACGGAACCTGGAGTCAGCTGGAGAGTCCCCAGCTGATCCCACACTCTGTGCGGCGCTACAGCTTTGAAATGCCGAGTGGAGCCCGGGATCATTTGGGAGCCCCCCCTGATCCTGGGTTCCACAGAAATGCCATGCGGAGCCTGGGATCGGTGCCCAGCTAACCCTAGGCTCCACGCAGCATTTCCACAGAACTCATAAGAACGGCCGTACTGGTCAGACCAAAGGTCCATCTAGCCCAGTAGCCTGTCTGCTGACAGTGGCCAGCACCAGGTACCCCAGAGAGGGTGGACCAAAGACAATGATCAAGCGATTTGTCTCCTGCCATCCCTCTCCAGCCTCTGACAAACAGAGGCCAGGGACACTATTTCTATCCCCTGGCTAATAGCCTTTAATAGACTTAACCTCCATGAAATTATCTAGCTTCTCTTTAAACTCTGTTATAGTCGTAGGCTTCACAGCCTCCTCTGGCAAGAAGTTCCACAGGTTGACTACACGCTGTGTGAAGAAGAACTTTATTTTATTAGTTTTAAACCTGCTACCCATTAATTTCATTTGGTGTCCTCTAGTTCTTCTATTATGGGAACTAATAAATAACTTTTCTTTATTCACCTTCTCTACACCATTCATGATTTTATAGACTTCTATCATATCCCCGCTCAGTCTCTTCTTTTCTAAACTGAAAAGTCCCAGTAGTTTTAACCTCTCTTCATATGGGACCCGTTCCAAACCCCTAATCATTTTAGTTGCCCTTTTCTGAATCCTTTCCAAGGCCAAAATATCCTTTTTGAGGTAAGGAGACCACATTTGTACACAGTATTCAAGATGTGGGCGTACCATAGCTTTATACAGGGGCAGTAAGATATTCTGTGTCTTATTTTCTATTCCTTTCTTAATAATTCCTAGCATCCTATTTGCCTTTTTGACCGCCGCTGCACACTGTGTGGAAGTTTTCAGGGAACTGTCCACGATAACTTCAAGATCTCTTTCCTGATTTGTCATAGCCAAGTTAGCCCCCATCATACTGTACGTATAGTTGGGGTTATTTTTCCCAATGTGCATTACTTTACACGTATCCACATTAAATTTCATTTGCCATTTTGTTGCCCAATCACTCAGTTTGGTGAGATCTTTTTGGAGTCCCTCACAGTCTGCTTCTGTCTTGACTATCCTAAACAGTTTGGTATCATCCGCAAACTTTACCACCTCACTGCTTACCGCTTTCTCCAGATCATTTATGAATAAGTTGAACAGGATTGTTCCCTGGACTGACCCTTGGGGAACACCACTAGTTACCCCTCTCCATTTTGAAAATTTACCATTTATTCCTTCCCTTTGTTTCCTGTCTTTTAACCAGTTCTCAATCCATGAAAGGACCTTCTCTCTTATCCCATGGCCATGTAATTTACACAAGAGCCTTTGGTGAGGGACCTTGTCAAAGGCTTTCTGAAAATCTAACTATAGATTTCTGAAAATCTAAGTTTACATGGACTCCCCTGCTGATCCCAGGCTCCAGCACAGCATTTTAAAGTGCTCAGAGCCCAGGATCAGCTGCGGAGTTCCCAGCTGACCCCCAGCTCCATGTGGCATTTCAAAGTGGCAGTCGCGAATAGAGCCCGGAGTCCATGTCCCCCACTGACCCTGGGCTCCACGTGGGCACTTCCACTTTGAAATGCACAAAGCCCCCGGGCCCACTGGAGCACTTTTACATTTCAAAGGAGGAATGCACAATTGCCTATTGACTAGTTGATGGAAATTCCATCGACTACTCACCCAATAAATTAATCGTTATTTAACATCCTTACTGCAGGCTGCTGTGCTAAGCAGCAGGCAGGTGCAAAGGGTTTGCAGGGAGCATTCCCCAAATCCGTCTGGGACTGTCCTAGTCCTAAATCCTCCACCCAAGTTGCCCTTTAGGAAAGGCTGGAGGGACTGAAGCTCCTCATTCCTACCAACGCTGTTTTTACTTGCTGTTCCCCTTCTGACACTGTCAGGGAGTGAGAGGAAAGCTCACAGTGTTCCTCTTCCTCTCTCTCCTGGCTGGTGCAGGGAGGGGACAGAGGAGTGAATGACCCACACAATGAGCTATCACTGTGAAGGAGCTAGAGGAAAGAAGGGGAAGATCAAGAAACAAGCAGCATCAGTAGAAACTGGGTAAGGGGATTCAGTCTCACTGACCTCCTAAATAGGCGCTCTTGCCTTCCGGCACTCCCCTCCACACCCAACCCGCTGCCATAGCCCCCCACGCCCTGAGCCCCCTGCCCTGATTCCTGCATCCCCCCACACTCCCACCCTCTGCCCTGACTCCCCCCCACACCCACCCCCACCCCAACCCGTGCCTTGAGCCCCCCGCATTCCACACCACACTTATATTTACAGACACTGTCATATTGCAGCTCCAAACTCCCCCTCTCGCGGAGACAATAACAGTACCTGTATGAAATGTACGTTACTTTCACCCGTTTATGGATAAATGATGTTTATGCAGAGGGGCCAATAAAGCCAATGCACTACTTAAATTACTTGCTTTGAGGACTTAAAGGGGGCATGTGTCTCATGGAGGCCCACTGCACTACAGTACATTTTGGGCCTTCTTCACTACAGTAAATTTTATCTGCTGTGTATCTTATTATTTTTAGCTATAAAAGAGACTAAATTAAAGGTTTACATTTTTTTTGCAAATCAGAGATATGCTTGGATATCACAATGAATACAGAAGTTCCAAATAATTTCTGAAGGTTTACATGTATGTTTCTGTTTCTTTTATAAACAATGAATAAGCATCTTACAGTGTTTCTTAATTAATCAGGATGTTTATAATGTACTGCTGTATTAGCGATACCATTATCAGTTGTCGTATCACAGATTTCTTCACTCGGTTCCCCTCTTTTGTTCAATTCAGGAACAACAACTTGAACTTGAAGACAATATATTGTCCAAGAGTCCAAATCAGATAATATTTCTGAGTTATAGTTAGCATCTCTGATTATAACCTATATGAAAGAAAAATACAGAAAATTCAAAGACAAATTCAAGTTCCAATTAATTGACAAACTATAGTACTAATTTCTAATTACAACTCAATTTAGTAGTCTTTGCATTCATAGCTGCACTATGGATTGGGTTTATACTATATCTAGTTCCAGAAAAAACAAAAGTTTAAAATATCAATAGCAACAAGGAGTCCTGTGGCACTTGAAAGACTAATAAAATGTGTTAGTCTTTAAGGTGCCACGGGGTCCTCATTATTTTTGCTGAAACAGACTAACATAGCTACCCCTCTGAAACTTTAAAATATCAGAAGTTAAAACAGATTTTGTAGTTTCCATATTACTTACTCAACAATAATCAAAGAAAAATTTCCTTTTAAGAATTGCCTAAAAAGGACACTGCAAATATTAAAATTAATCAGCGGTCTTCAAAATCCTTTTTCTATTCTAAAACATGTTATTGATGGTGAAAAATAATCACCTTACAAAACAAGAGCTATAACAGGGTTGAAATCCTAGCTCTTAAACTGGTTCACTGAATGACAATAGGTGGGCTTTAAATTTCTTATGATCAGATTTACAGGAATTTACAGGAATTTTCCTTCCACTATGCCATAAAAGAATTTTCCAAGAGACACGTTCTAGCAGAAGAGTGACTCTAAAGCTATTATATAAGTGTGCACAGAATTCTAAGTAGCATTATTTTAAAAAAATCTAGCAGCTAACAAAACCAAGCAAATATTCACGCAACACACTCTGTTTAGGGTTACATAGGAAAACTACTCAAACATTTGCTAATGTAGAATATGGCATGCTGCCTGCTTAAAACAGCTGGTCAATGTAAAAGTATTTTGTGTGTGACTGTACACAGCACTGACTTTTTATTTTCTTCTGGGTGTGTTTAATGGTATTAGTCTTAAGAGTAGAAATCTGTATGTGGTTAAGGAGATGGCTACTAAAAAAGATGGTCTCTATGCCTATGCAACTTTACACTAGGTGACACTAGCTAAAAGTGCTGTTATTTACTGACTTGGCTTACAGTAAACTAGGACACTTTTCTGCTGGTTAGCTTAGAAGATTTCATTGCTGTGGGGGAATAATCTATCCAAGTACTAATTTTTTTAAAAGATCGAATGAAATTGTCTGGCACTTCTTAGAGTCTTCTTTAATCACTGAGGTAATCTCCCAGGTTCTTACTCGAGTGCGGAAACCTGAATATTCTCAGTGACATCTCCTTTTGAGTAACTTGCTTCCTTTGGCAACTTGACCAATTGGCAGTTTGACCAGGTATCAGGGCCAGATTAAGACATGCTGAAGCTCAGCTACAGGCAGTCCCCAGGTTATGTACAAGATAGGGACTGTAGATTTGTTCTTAAGTTGAATTTGTATGTAAGTCGGAACTGGTACATATTGTAGGGGAAACTCTAGCCAAACATTTCTCCAGAGCTCAGTTTTATTCTCCCACACCTCACTTCCCTCAGTCCTTTATTCTCAAGCTGAGGTGTCTCCTGAGAAAAACCACTCCGCGTCTCCCTGGTCTGCTGGGAGGAAGCAGCTAGTGCGGGGTTGCCTCACCCCGTTTGTAAGTAGGGATCCGATGTAAGTCGGATCCATGTAACCCGGGGACTGCCTGTATATCAAGTTTAAGAAGCCCCACAGCATTACCAAAAGATATGTCTTATACTAATAGAAAGGACAATGAAAATAGAATTGCCTATATACCTGTGCATAGGTGAGGATGTACATAGGCAACTAAAAATTAGTAATTTTTTTTGTATTTAGAGGTCCCTCAAAATCTGAGGCCCTAAAATGTACCTTACTTAACTTGTGTATAAATCTGGCACTGCCAGGTATGGATGGACTCACTGACTTACCCTTCAGAATAATTCTCTCTTCCCTCCTCTCTCCTACATTATTCCTGAGCTAAGGCTAAAAAGTTGTTAGAGATGAGAAGATTCCTTTATTTCTGCATCTGGATACTAAATACTAGACTGGGAATTTTGAAGGATACCTAATATGAATCAGACTAATATCTAGGCACCAAAGTGTTCATGTATAAAAATGTCCTTTGTTGCACAGAGATCTAGTATATTTCCATGGAGATCGATAGAAAATTATATCTTTCTTGGATCAAATACAACATTCTATCACACCATAATTAATCTATTATTTTTGTTTTATCATATGCATAGAGTACAGTGAAGTGTGTGGGACATGCCCACCCCGGGAGAGGATGGTAGCAGCCATGTTAAGAATCCAAAATCCAGCCTTTTTCAAACCAGTACTGTAAAATAGATCATTCTAGCAAAACTGCTTGAATCACATATAACTGGTTGCAGATCAGCTATTCATTATACCTCTAGTTAGTTTTACCCCTATAGCATTTCTAAGTTGATTTTTTTGTGTAGTATGCATGGGTACTGTGGTGATGACTGTAGCATATGCCACTAAAAAAATAAAAACATTGATGCATAAAGGTGATAAAGGCTCATAATTTAATAACTATTTCTAACTATTGAATGATAGTTTATGCCCATTTAGTAGGTAGTTACTAATTCCCTCTGACAGTTTGCTATTGAAGCAAATTGTGATAATTATAACTTCCTAATATCACTAATTTTCAGAGATCTTGTTTTTGCTTCAGCAGTTATGCCTCAAAACATTATACAGTCATACACCTAGAAATGCCCATTTAAAGCTGCAGTTGTAAATCAGAGTCACAAAAGAGAGTCAATTGAACAAAAGTTACCTCTTTGCTATTGCTTTTTTTCCAGTATAGCACCCTGTAAACCCAAGAGTTGCCATAAAATTCTTTTAAAGGCCACTTGTGCAAGTCACGTATAGCAAAAGGGCCTGTGAAATCTAAATACAAAGATCCAGATTCAGATTTCACTTTTACTTCAGGTGGTCCAATGACAGCTAAATGAAAAGAGATCAGAAAAAAAAATCACAAAAATACAATCTCTTCTCAGACAGTTATTTTTATGGTATACAGCACTATGCCTTATCACTATCATTACCTTGAAGAAAACTCTTTAACCTCAAAGAATCAAGGGTAAATAAATTCTTTAGTCACAGATGTGTCATAAAGTGACTTTGTCTTTACACTTTTGCTGTCTGCCATTCTCAGTTCTAAACTTAAAAAGCAACAAAAGGTCTGGTAGCACTTTATAGATTAACAAAATACGTAGATGGTGTCATGAGCTTTTGTGGGCACAGCCCACTTCTTCTTTCAGTTCTGTCCTTCAAGATGCTTTCACTAATGGCAGAGATAAGAATACTATGGAACCTGCTCCCGGGGCATCTTATTGCTTGTGTTTCCCCATGTGAGCTGCGGCTCAGTGATGTCAGATGTCACCGAGGAAACTTTCAGGTAAAGTGTTTTATGATAATGAGCCTCATTAAGACAGTTGTATCGTTCCCATCTCTATATTTACGTATATATCCATGCCATCACAATCTTTCACTTCATGCATCTGATGAAGTGAGCTGCAACTCACAAAAGCTAATGCCCTAATAAATGTGTTAGACTTTAAAGTGCATTGGACTCCTTGTTTTTATTTGAGAAACTGCAGCTCTTGAGTTGCTTCTGAGTTTATTAATTTTTTTGCATCACAGGATATATTTTTATCTTTTGAAACTAGCTAGTTTATTAAATTTTTAAATAACTTATTTTAGTGAGCATTTTATTCCTCACTTAGGTTGTATCTACAATGAATTGTTTCATAAAGTCTCCTAGTGTTCCAGCTGTACCACTGTATAAGTGCTAGCACTAATGGGAATGCTAGTGTAAACCAGTGAGAAGTACTTTAACCACCTTCTCATCTAACCCTGTGCTCAGATCGTAAAAATGCTGCTGGTCAGTCTACACTTGTATTCCAAACATTGCTATCAGTGGTAATGTTACCCCAAGGCATCAGTGAGATATTTTAAGAAATAGCTCAATGTACACAAGGCTATAATTTTTTCAGAAATTCACACTACAGGCAGTTCCCGGGTTACATTGATCCGACTTACATAGGATCCCTACTTACAAACGGGGTGAGACAACCCCGCACTAGCTGCTTCCCCCCAGCAGACCAGGGAGACTTAAAGCTAGCGCCACCCCCAGCAGACCAAGGAGACGCGGAGCGGCTTTTCTCAGCAGACACCTCACTTGAGAATAAAGGACTGAGGGAAGTGAGGTGTGGGAGAATAAAACTGAGCTCTGGAGAAATGTTTGGCTAGAGTTTCCCCTACAATATGTACCAGTTCCGACTTACATACAAATTCAACTTAAGAACAAACCTACAGTCCCTATCTTGTACGTAACCCGGGGACTGCCTGTATTGTAGTTGTAAAAACAATTCCGGCTGTGGTGGCCTTGCCTACATGGTAATTCCAGTTGGTTTTAACCTGGCTTAAAGTTGTGAAAAAAAATTCCCATTGGTAACTCAGCTGTTCCTAGGCTGAACCTACATACTGTATTGGGGTCTGTAATTTTCCAACAGCTCCAACTCTGTTGGTGGTCATGCTGGTGGAAACTGTGGCATAGCCAGGAATCAGATGTGTAACTGCAATGAGCAGGATTAAAAATACTGTAGTAAAAAATGGCACACTGATTAAGAGTCCTATCTATATTGCAGATTTCACCAGTGCTGCCAAGTCTTTTCTCAATTAGTTTTATGCATGGATGACTCAGTCCAATTATACAATGGCTTTTGAAGGTCAGAGTTCCTTAGAAGTTAACTCTTCAAACATGAATCAAAACCCTTTTTTAATGCAATACTTTAGAGAACTCTGACCTGTTAATGCTTTTGATCTCTAATGTGGATGTTCACGAGAGCTACGTCTAGACTCCCCCCCCCCTTCCAAAAGTCCCAACCCTATTCCATACTTTTCCCACCCATACACAAAAACCCTCCAAGTTCATATGCAGGCTCCTTCCCAGCAATTATTTCCCTCTCTCTCAGTTCCTCTATTACCGCTGACTTCACCAAGCATTTGCACTGCTTCTGAAGGGTCTGTATTTTATTTCGAATGAATTATCAGAATTCAGTATTAATATGATTAGTAAGGAATCTATTTGTCAAAAAACATATCCTGATTCTTTTTTCTTGTCAGTATTTTTACGAACAGACTTGTTGACAGGTATTTTGAAATAAATGACCAAAAATAATTGAAACGGGTGTGATCATATTCTGTTATTTTGACAAGTAAAACTTATAAAATTGTGCTGAATTTGAAAATATAGTGTGCAAAAAATTTTGGTGCAGAATTCCTTGAAGAGTATTTCTGAGCACAACTCCACTCTTCCAAAAAGTACAGGTTGACTATCTCTAGTCTAGCACCATCTGTGGTCCGGCATAATTTTAGTTAGTCGTATGGCATACCCATGATATATGAACAAGTTTCCCACAGTCCCATAAAGTTTGCTTAAAGCCACCAGCCCTGGCTCTCAGTGTTCTGTGCTGTTATTTAGCTCTAATTTACCCCAACATGTCTGTTAAGAGACCAATAAGCTGTGGAAGTGGTAGTAATGCTGCTAGACAATATTGACCTCCCATGGTCTGGCAAATTCGGCACCAGTCAGGTCCCGAGAGTGCTGGATTAGAGAGATTCAACCCACGGCCATATTATCCATTAGGCACAATAGACACAGTGACTAGGGACTAAAATAAGTTTAGGGCCTTAAAAAAATCTTAATGGACTCGAAAGTAAGAAAACTGCTAAATCAAATGATATAGTCATAGCAGCAACATCCCATTACTTGCCCTTATCAGCTGATTAACCATCAGGTACATCCTAAATCTAATTGAATTAGGGTTTCCAGGTGTCCGATTTTTGCTCAGACTGTCCGTTAAGTGAAATGTCCTGTATTTCCTGTTTCCCTCGGAAGGAAGCCCATCGGGGACAAATGTCCTCTGCCGCGTCTGGCGGGGGCAGGGGAGTGAGGAGTGCAGGACCATTAAAGGCACAGCACCTTTTTTTGTTGTTTTTGCTTAACAACTTTGGCCCCTCCCTTTTTTTCCCTCAACAGAATTTTTTCTCTGTGTTTTTTTTGGGGGGCGAATGGGAGAGGGGGTGTTTGGTATTTTTTGTTAAACCATCTGGCAACCCTAATTGTAATATACATCAAAATGGCTGTTATTTTAGCATGAAGTACCATGAATTGCGCACACAGTGTACCATTTTCAAAAGCGAAAATTAAAGTGGGCGATATTAGGCGATATAGGTGATAGAGCATTTCTCCCTTATATATTTATATGTAATCTAATTTAAAGGCCTATGATTAGGAGAATGCCTAAGGTCTACAAAGATCTTAATCCGGCCCTGGTTCAACCTATATACTAATTAGCACTTGGATATTTCATGCTTTACTTAAAATGATTTGTAAATTTAGAACAATCTGTATTTTAAGATCTCTTCATATTCAGATTAATTGCAATTTTATTTCCTTAACAGTTCACTATTAGTGGTCAAAAGCTGCCTGTTAGGAGGAAGCCTTACTGTCATCAATTGGCTTAAAGATGATGTTCACCCAATTTGACTCTTCATTCTCTGACTCAGCTCTGACTCGCAAGGTGTAGTTGCCATAATCAGGAAGAGAAGAGAAGTCACAGTGGGTGTTAACAATGCTCACGCACTCATTCTTCTTCAAAACACTGCTGTAGAGGAGGCAAAAGAATTGTATCCAAGTCATATTCGGAACAAGAAAATATCCTTCATTTCTGTGAAGCAGGTAAGTGGCAGTACACACTTACTATATATTGACATTGCTAATTACCTCTCAGGCAAAAACTATTAGCTGAAAAAAATAAGAACACTGATATATCTACACTGATACATCTATATCTATCACATATACATAGGTATTAAACATTTGTAACATCTATCTATTAGATTATTACTTTATGATAAAGATAGAGATTAAGGTGATCATTCAGAAAAAAGTACACAGCTGCTCTTTGACTTGGCAAATGCAAATTCTGTGCCTGATACCACAATCAAGTTCAAATATGCCTGAATTTTCAGTCTACTTTTCACTAGGGTTGCCAGGTAGATCCCGCTAAAAAAACAGACACGCTTGTCCGGGGGGAGGAAGGGGAGGACCGGCTGGGAGGGAGGCGGGGCTGGCCGGGAGGGGGGCAGGAAGCAGAGCTG